AGGTGGAGAAAAACTAGTAAATTTTCCAGGAAGAAAAAGAAAAATCATTTAACTTGATCTGTTTGTTTTGATTTCAGACTCATTAAACAACCTTATAATTTGGTTTCCTATGTAGACTTTGGTATGGGCAGAATATGGCCGCAGCACACCAAATCCAGTTTGCTTGGCAGTCATAACCTTCATCCTGCTCAGAGCTTGCATTCTCCTTCAAAATTCTAGGAAATAAATATTTCTCCCATTTGCAGGGATAAGGAAGTTGAAATACGGGGCCAGCCCCACATCCTAGTCGTTAAGGAATCTAGACCACATGGCTGGCCATGGTTTGAATCTGGTTTGCAGCAGCCTGAAAAACATACTGAGCATGTGCGTGTATGTGCCCAAAATCCTGCCAGGAGGGCCGCATGGAGGAGGGCTGCAGTGTGACTGTGCCCCACCCTGCCAGGAGGGCCACATGGAGGAGGGCTGCAGTGTGACTATGCCCCACTCTGACAGGAGGGCCACATGGAGGAGGGCTGCAGTGTGACTATGCCCCACTCTGACAGGAGGGCCACATGGAGGAGGGCTGCAGTGTGACTATGCCCCACCCTGACAGGAGGGCCACATGGAGGAGGGCTGCAGTGTGACTATGCCCCACCCTGACAGGAGGGCCACATGGAGGAGGGCTGCAGTGTGGCCGTGAGGGCCACATGGAGGAGTGCTGCAGTGTGACTATGCCCCACTCTGACAGGAGGGCCACATGGAGGAGGGCTGCAGTGTGACTATGCCCCACGGTGGGGGACGGGGGGCGGGGGGGTTCTTCTGTCTCTCTCCATTTCTCTTTGGCAAGTGCACCTACCCTCGGGCAATTAAAAAAAAAGGAAGGAGAAATGGAAGTATGGCTGAGAAGTGGCAGATGTACAAGAAAGCTGCTGCAAGAAAGTCAAGAAGAATGAAGGCTAAGAAATGCATCTTTTATATTCAGTATTTTGGAGACCTTTCGGTAAAAAAGTGTCAGAAGCCAGACTGCACTAGATTGATAAGCCAGAAAATAATAAAGAAACAGAGGGATCAAACAGAGAATACTCTTTCAAAAAATCTGGCTGCAAAAGAAAGGATAGTAACATACAGAGATCTGTTTTCACTTCGGCTTTATTTATTTATTTATTTTTTTATTGCCAGCAGATACATGTGCTCACCAGAAGGGGAAAGAGAGAGAGAGAGAGCACGCGGGCTCCCCTCAATGGGGTATAATGATGCCACAAGCCTTTTTCCTGCATTCCTCCATGCCTTCAGGATTTGGGGTGGGCATGCAGGCACACACACCAAGCAAGTTTTCCAAGCTGCTGGGGCCAGATTCGAACCGCAGTTGGCTGTGTGGAATCCTGCTCTCTATGCCCAGCAAGTAAACCCAGGCTAAGGGGCTGTCTTCACTCAGCTTTCATAGGACTTCCAGCCCCTCGTTAAACACAGGGGAGTCTGCCCAGTCTATAGAGAGCTACAGCACAAAGTGGCAAAGATCTCGCAACTACAGTGGTACTCCACAAAAAGGTTCTCTATAATACAAGGGGAGTTTGAGACAGGCATCTTCCATTCATTTCTTCTGTGGTCATTTTGGGTTCAAACAAATGAATATCTAGATGGGATGTCTTGTTTTCTAATTTTGCTATAGGGCTTGTGCACTTGCTGGAGAGACAGACGGGCAAAGTCAGAAAGCACAAGCACTCCCCAGGGGGGATGGCCACACCACAATTCCTTCTCCTCCATTCTCCTTTCAGGATTTTGGGCACACACACCCCTGGCATATTTGTCTAGCCGCCTAATTCAGAACTCAAACCACGGAAGTGGGCCCTGTGGGATCCAGCCACCTTAACCACTATGCTACCGTCTCGCCCCAGGTCTAATTGTTTTTTTTTTTACTTTCAAAATATATTTTTCTTTATAAAAGTCAGTGGGAAAAAAACACTGTTCAGTAACAGTGCTTTAGAAATCACTTTTCTTGAACATATCTATGTAGTTAACTGACATGTAATAACAAATTCTCAGAAAAAATGGCATATGTTTCCATGTGCCATGATAAAATGAATTTTTTTCTTTGTTTTAGCAACTAAACTTTTCTCCTTTAAGACACTAATGTTTATCTTTTGTGGCACCTACAGTATTTTAATATAAACTTACCTTGTATTAAGAAATTACATATTTCAATTCTGAGGTTCCAATCATGGGGTAACAGTCTAGAATTAAAATCTGTTTATTATCTTGGGACCAGAAGATGGCATAGTGGTTACATTGCTGTACTCCCATGCAGTCAACCATGGTTCGAGTCCTAGACCTGGAGGCTTAAAACTCATGCCAGGCACATGTGTGTGCATGCCCCAAATCGCAAGGGGACAGTGAAGGAGAAGGGATTGCAGCGTGGCCATCTCCCCTGGAGGATGATTTCTCACTTTCTGTCTCTCTGTCTCTGTCTCTCAGTAAGCACATGTGTCCTATAACAACAACAAAAAATAATCTGTTTACTACCTCATTTTTAAAACACCGTAAGTCTGTATCACAGTGCAAAGATTGTACTCCGACAGAATTTACAGCAGGAGTGGAAGGGCAGAGCGTAGTTCAAAGTATATCTGGTCATTTCAAATGCTGCTAGAAAAAGCAGTCCAGCCACTTAAAATACCAGACTGTAATTTTTTTTTTTTTTATGAGGAGCTATATGAGAAGCAATTTTCAAATATCAGTGCTTTGTTACGGTTAAAGGCCCAGCTCATTTCTTTAGTGTTTGCGGTCACATATCTGTTTGTCTGTGGAAATGAGACCGGCTAGTGAGAAGCAGAAACGGGCAGCGGCCACCCTGTTACCTTACATTGACGCGTAGTCGGCTCTCGGAGGGAGTACACTTTGAGCCAGTGTTTTGGTCTTTCCTACAACAAATGCTCATTAGCAATCACATGTTTCCTTTCTGCTTTCTTTTCTCCCCTAGCCCTCTACCCCCATGTCTGGAGTTCTGGGATACAGCAAACTATTGGATCTAAACTTTTCTGGGGGTGGGAAGATGGTGTTTGACAGAAAATTCAAACATTTACATTTAAATTCCCTATGGCATTACCTATCCTTTTTGAAAATTTCTGGCTTTATTAATTTGTAAAAGTTAGAATTCCTTTAGGAATGGGAAATTTGTTGATCTTTCAAGAGTCCCACATCATGGGAACCAGCAGTTAGCGTAATGGCTATGTCAGTGGATTCCCACGTAGTTGACGGCGGTTCGCTTTCCGGACCCGGTGGCTTAAAACTCATGCCGGGCGCGTGTGCGTGCGTGCCCAAGATCCCGAGAGGAGAATGAAGGAGAAGGGATTGTGGCGTGGCCATTCCCCCTGGGGGGTGATTTCTCGCTTTCTGTCTCTCTGTCTCTCTCTGTCTGTCTGGAGAGCGCATGTGCCCTGTAGCGAAAACCTCTCCAAAAAAAAAAAAGTCCCGCATCCAACAATAAAGTTGACTTATATACTAAGGTTATATTACGGAAACACAATATAAATTAACCTTATCATCAAGACCCTCTGTGCAGTCCTCCTTCCATTTATTCACAATATGAGTTAGTTCTTGTTCAGACATGTTTAGGAATAAAGAACTCTATAAGGTAAACTACGTGTTAGTAATGTGTACCTAGGGCTGTGGAGAGAGAAAGGAAGAAAGACAAAGAAAGGGAAAGGCCAGCCAGAGGCATGGAAGTTAAGACGGCTGGACACTCCACGGCTGACTCTGCAGTTCCAGTGCCAGACCCCGTGGCTTGAAACAACACCACGCATGTGTACATGCATGCCCAACACGCCAAGAGGAGAATGGAGGAGGAGAAGAGACTGGCATAGCCATCCCCCTGAGGAGTGCTTTCTCACTTTTTCTCCCTCTTTCTATTTCTTTTCAAGTGAGCACACGTGCCCTATGGCAAAAATTAGAAAAAAAAAAAAAAAAAAAAACCCAGGAACCAGCAGTTAGCATAAAGGCTATATCGCTGGACTCCCACATAGTCGACCACAGTTCGCATCCCGGACCCGGTGGCTTAAAACTCACACCAGGAGCGTGTGCGTGCATGCCCAAGATCCCGAGAGAATGGAGGAGAAGGGATTGCGGCGTGACCATCCCCGCTGGGGGGGGATTTCTCGCTTTCTGTCTCTCTCTGTCGGTCTGGCGAGTGCACGCGCCCTATAGCGAAAACCTCTCCAAAAAAAAAAAAAAAAAGAGAGAGAGAGAAGCCTTATTATTATTATTTTTTAAGTAGAGAATTAAACTTTCACAAGCTTTCAACAATGAATTCTACAAATTAACTAGAGTCACTATTCATAGTTAAATAGTCCCACATTAATAAAATTATTTTATTTTAAAGCCATAAGCCAAATTTCTTTTCTAAAATTAAAACAGTAGCTCTGTGGTTCTCTGACTCTTTTATCAGAAGAGGAAAAAAGCCCATTGAAATATTAAATTCCATTGGAGCCCTATTCATCTAATACGGAAGGCAAAATTGGATGTGAAATAAATGAGAAATGAGAAAAATGCGGTCTGTAATCCCCTCAGGAAGAAGAGCTAAGACTTGTGTGACTGGATGCTCAGGCCGCTCTGACGATGAGGGACGAGGGACGGTCCAGAGCTCACCTGCCTGCTCAGGTGCATTCCGTACAATGGTTCTCAGCTGCAGTGTTTAGGGATGGAGGGGAGGAAGGGGGAAAAGGGTGGAATTGAATGAAGGGGAGGTAGTCCAGTTTTGATAGTTCTAGATTAACTAAGAAAAATGAAAGAATGATTCTTCACAAGCAAGTGCTTCTTACAGTCCCCAGAGGTGAGTCTAAGACAAGCGGTCATGGCCGAGCCCTGAGGGCGGTGTGCAGTCACTCCTTCCCTACTCAACAGCTCCCGGAGGCCAGGCCGGCAGTACTCTCACTGAGAGCCCACGCTGGCCAGGCGGGCGCACAGCTCAGAGGCTGAAAGGAGCCTCCTAGGGCCTCGTTGCCCTCTCCTAGGTGAAGGGTTAGGCTTACCCATGCTCATCTTGATGGGCAGGTTCTCTCTGCTCGCTGCTTCCACTAGGTGTCTCCGAACTTCCATCACCGCCTCTTTGCACTTGGTGTTCAGTAACGCTTCCCACAGGGCTTTGGCTGCAGAGTCACTGCAGTGAAACCAGGAGTAAGGCTTTAGAATATGTTTCTACTCAATGATGGAGAGGACTGAACGCAAAATTATTTCATGAATATCTTTGCCGAGTGCTAATGTAGTCTTTCCCAGTGATAGACTCTAAATACGAAAATGTAAAGAATATCGAATTCACTTAAATGGCATCAGGTACTGAGAAATTAAGGAAACGAAAAAAATCAAGCCCCCCCCCCCAAAAAAAAAGGGGGAAGGAAAAAGCTATATAGTGTCATGAGAAGTATGGGAAAATTGTACGATAAAAAACATTAAGATTTTGCACTTAAATGCAATTCAGAATGCAATTTATCACACAGTAACATAAATGTCCCATAAGCCCAAAGTAAATGTATGTCTAAAAATGATGTATCAGTGATTAGAAGCTTTATATCCCTGGGAGATAAACGCACTTGTCTGAGAAACACAAAGCCATCGGCAACAAGAAACCCGCTCAGAAATTACTCAATAGTCTTCCTAATTAGCAGGCTTCCTATGGAGTGAAGCCAGGCGCTGTGCTAAGTGGCGGGGTCTGAAGTAGTCCACTCTGGGCCTCGGGCTGCAAGGACAGCACTCCGGGAAGCCTGACAATCCACCGTTGATAAGGGCCCGAAGCACAGCATTGTGCAGGCCCATCTGGGCTCGCTCCCCCAATGGCCCTCTGTCCTGGCCTGCGAGCAGGTCGGCGTTATAAATGAGCACAGTGTTCTTTCCGGAAGAGCTCAGCCATGTTGCCAAGCATACACATTTGTAGTAACATTTTAAAACGGAACATAAAGAAACAAGGATGACTTCTGTCCCTTTCTAAGGACTTTGTCCTCCACTAAAGCCCGGCTACTTCTAGTTAGCACTAGTTTGAAAATAAATACAGCTTTCAATTTTAGTTTTAAAGTTAATGGAAGCAAGATCATTTTGTTCTCAATGTTACCTAATAAGACACGTTTCCAGTTCAATTTGACTTGGAATAGTGATGTATGTTAGCACTGTACGTAATGCCTGCCACGTAATACTCTTTCACTAAGTAATGGCTGTTTTTAATACCATTCATTTTTTCTACAGTGAGTTAAGATCCCTGCTCAGATCATTTCTCTTTTTAAAATCTGATCAAAGCTGTCATCATTACAACTCGGCATCAAACATTCTTGAGTTTAAGTGAGCAGATAAACGTCACGTCAAGCCCTGTATTTGGCTGGAACATAGATAAAGACACGTTTTCAATGATTTATAGTCTGGGAAAAGAGGCACGCATGTAAGCAATGGAATTACCACAAAAAAAAAAAGTGTGAACAGAGCCACGATCACTGCTCACATAGATTTCTACGCAAACCTAACACTGGCTGGGAGGACAGGCTCCAAGGGATGACTCGTCCGGACATGACGAGCAAGTACTAAAATAAAGATATGCGCTAGACGCTGCCCAGGGCTGGGGGCAGGGCGCTGGGCCAGCCAGTGTCCCGAGGGTTTAAGGAGCTAGATCCCACATGGCCAGCTGTGCAGTTTGGGTTCTGGACTTGATGTCTTAAAACACGTGCCCGGCACATATGCGTGCGTGCCCAAAGTCCCGAAAGGAGGGATAAATGTAAGAGGAGGAACTGCAATGTTCCCTATGGGTTGTGCTTTCTCCTTCCTCTCATTCTCTTTGCTGAGCCCACAAGCTCTGTGGCAAATGAAATGAAGAAAGAAAGAGAGAGAAGAAAGAAAGGAGGGAGAGAAAAAGGAAAGAAACAAAGAGGGAAGAAAGGAAGGAGAAGTAAGGGAGAAAGACGAGAGGAGAGGAGAGGAGGGGAGGGGAGGGGAAGGGAGGGGGAGAAGGGAGGGGAGCAGAGCCTAGGGAAGAAGTTAGGACTCAATCTATAAAGGAGAATGGGGAAGAAAAGCTTCATAGAAAATATAAAATCTCAGTCCACAAAATTCAGAGGACACTCAGAACGTGCAGAGTCACAGTCTGACACTAAGGGCTGTCTCGTTCCAGGCTGAGCTGCGGGGAGGGAGGGAGCCACACTGCAGGGCCCTGGATCCCCTGCCACAACTTGTCAACTTTGATCGATAGATGACGGGAGCCAAGGACCTTCTGATTGACGTCACACCCTAAGAACGGCAAAGCTCAGCGATTCCTAATGGTCTATCCGAATTCAAAAGCAGGTCTGTTTGCTATGGGGCTTTCAGAAAGTTATGGAATTCTCTGAGCTCTGCAGGAATTAGACTACCACTGACCAAGTAGGAGCAGGGCAGTTGCACCTCACGTCCCCACACTTACGGACCACAGGCATCCCCGGCTTTATTCCCAAAAGCACCTCTCCCCAAACCACAGGGATTCTCACCCAGCCTCAACTCAACACAGAGCCTCCAGCACAGAGCGTCCCTCCTCCTTTCCCTGAAAATCCACGGCTCACTAGAGCAGGGTGTCTCCAAGGTCCCAGCAGGTTACGTAAGGCTGGGGCCGCTCGGGTAGGTGAGGGTGATGGTTGTGCTCACCAGAGAGACAGAGTCAGAGAAAGGGGAAGAGGAAAAGCACCCCAAAGGGGCGTGTCACACCACAATCCCTCGCCCACTATTTCTCTATCCTGTCAGGATGTGGGGGACACATACACATGTGCCCAGCATGTATTTCAAGCTGCTGGGACCAAGATTCGAACCATATAGTTAGTCATGTAAGAGCCAACCTCCTTAACCACTAGGCCATGGGGTCAGTCTGAGATTTTCTTATGAAGGTTTTAAGCCATGACTCCTGTTAAATAATAGCTTCTTGCCTCTTCAATTCAATTATATTGAAATTTTACAGGCTGCATACAACGAGACATTTTAAAACTACAATTGCTGGAAACCAGCAGATGGCGTGGTGGTTAAGGTGCTGGACACTCCCACATGAGCAACCATAGTTCAAGTCCTGGACCTGGTGGTTTGATTTTGCACTTTCTCTTTTTCTATGTCTCTCTCTGGTCATATTAAAATAAGTGAATGAATAAATAAAATTTTTAAAAATATCTTTTAGAAAAAACTACAGTTGCTACTTTTATGAGGAGCTTAAATTCTATAACTATTTCCAGACTGATTTATCTCATAACTGTACAACTCTTGGACCAAAAGTGAACGCTAACATTAATATTAGCCATTTTTACACTTTCAACAGGACTCTACTTAACCCAACACAGACAGATAAACATCTATTTTTAGTTTTTGAAAGCACCTAAAAATTTTTTGTAAGATGCCTGCGTATTTTTAAAAATTATTTTATTGAGCTTTATTTATTCATTCATTCATTTATTTATTTTAATTGGACCACAGAGACAGAGTGAGAGTGAGAGAAAGTGAGAAGGCAAGCTGCCAGGTCTGAGATTCGAACCGCGGTCAGCTATGTGGGAATCCAACACCCCAACCACCATGCCACCTGCCGGCCCCAAGATGCCTGTATATTAAAAAATCACTGCAGCTTTGAACAGATCAAACTGCTGCTAGATGACTTATACCTATCTAAGTACTTTGTGCTTTACTGTAAACCTACTTAATCTTGCTTGGTCTTTTAAGTTTAAGTACAGTTGGTCAACATCATTTAATAATTAGCCCCACCCAAAAACAGTTTACTTGTTTTTTTAATGGCTAAATTAAGGAAGATCTTTGAGAGGTAAATATAGTATTTATAAATTTTATTCAAATATATCACTTACATTCTATTTTTAAACCATTTCAGAATCTACAACATTTGATCCTGACCTCCTGAGCCAAGCCATCGTCACTGACCCAGCTGACAGGGCCTCAGAGAAGCCAACTGTCTGACTTAAGCACGTTGAACCAGGAAGTGGCAACACCAGGACCCATACAAAGGTCATTAACTGACTTCTTTCCATTTTTTAAAAAAATTATCCATTTAATTTTTATTTATCATTATTATTTTTTAATTTACTACAGGGCAAACACACTGTGTGTGTGAGAGAGAGACAGAGAAAGAGAGAGGGAAAGTGACAAACAAGTCACCAGGTCTGGTTCTCGAACCCTGATCAGTCATGTGGGAGTCCAATGCCCCAACCACCACACCACCTGCTGGCCCACCAACTGGCTTCTAAGCCCAGGAGTCTTCATACCACATCATGCCATCTTTGTATTATACAAATCATAAAAAAAACTACCACTTAGCTGTAAAATGTCAATCATTTTCAACTTTTTTTTTTTGGAGAGGTTTTTGCTATAGGGTGCGTGCACTCACCAGAAAGACAGAGAGAGACAGAAAGAGAGAAATCACCCCCAGAAGGGATGGCCACGCCACAATCCCTTCTCCTCCATTCTCCTCTCAGGATCTTGGACACACACACACACACACCCAGCATGAGTCCAAGCAACTGGGTCCAGGACTCGAACCATGATCGACTACATGGGAGTCCAGCGACATAGCCATTACGCCAACTGCTGGTACCTCAACTTGTTTTTCAGAGTTTTTTTGTTTTTTTGGTTTTTTTTTTTTTTTGCCTTAGGGCATATACGCTTGCTGGGGAGAGAGCGATGGAGACAGTGAGAGGGAAATTGATAAATCACCCCCCAGGGGGATGGCTACACTGCAATCCCTTCTCCTCCTGGAATCTTGGACACATACGCATATGCACTTGGTGTGAGTTTCAAGCCATGGGTCCAAGATTTGAACCACTGTCAGCCATGTGGGAATCCAGTGATGTAACTGCTATGCCATCTGCTGGCCCTTCCATTTTCAACTTTGTGTATGTTGACTTTCTTTCAAATCCTTAACATCCTCTTTTCTCCCTGTAAGGTCCCACGTGGGCCCATGTAGGAGAGACTGGAATACGGTGAAGAGTAAAGTTGATCCACAAACCCGTGAAGCAAGTAAAGCCGTGTCAGGGCTTGGCATCTATTGTTTTGAACCATTCCA